CAATTCTTCTTCTGAGTTTCAATTTTAGCATCATAATTACCAGTAATTATCAGTGCAACATAGTTGCAGTTGCATTAATCTCAGACTACAGACATTTCTTCATTTTGGCATTCCTGATCGGTATGTAAATTGGAGTAATCATTGTATTAACTGAGTCTTGCCGGTACTCATTGCCATGAGGTAGATTTGACCCATCGCTTGGCTACAGAGGGTCTCTGAGCCTCTAAGTCTCTTCTCCCTCAGAGCCACTAGGTTTGAACTGCTGACCTTACTATTAGCAGTCCAGCGCTTACCCAACAGAGGCAGAGGAGCTCCCTGTTCTTCCTTGTAGGTATATGGACCTTATCCTATTACTGATAGCCGTTACCGCAAGATACATCTCCAACTGGTCTCTTTGGTGATGAATGCCATGCCATTCCTCTTCCATTTCCCATCCTGGCCATAGACTAAATACATGTCTGATTCAAACATGGCCATAATTCATCCATTTTACCTCACTAATACCTAGCATATTGATCTTTAAGCATTTGATTTCATTTTGATGACCTCCAATCATCCTGAATTTATACTTTATACATTGCTAGTTCCAATTACTAACGGATGTTTGCAATTGTCTTGAGTCATTTTGAGTGGTGATGTTCTTGGAAGCTATACTCTACCTACATAAGCATGATAGTGAGGTTTTGTGGCAACTTGAGTGAACCAGGATTCTTAACAGTTTGGCAGTTGAGGCCTCCCACATGCTGTGAAGTAGCATAATGCAACCAATTCCATGATGGTGTTTGCTGTGAGGAGTCAAGCAGTTGTGGGAAGATTCAGGTGGAGAGCAACCCCTTACTCAGGCCATAGCCCTCAGGAAAGTGGCCTACTTCATATGCAAGTAGCCTGTGTGGAAAGTTCCTTCACTTCTTTCTTCACTTCTTGCTGGTCTGGATTCTGTTTTGATCTCCTATCCTTTGGACTTGAGCCCATGGCCCACCATATTGCCTGCCGGCCCTTGGAGCCATAAGAGCCTGCCAACCTTGGACTCATTCACTTCTGCATCCAACTATCCATGGACTTTCGGCTTAGTCTTCTTGGTTCCTGGTTGGTCTTCTGGCTTCCTGGTCCATCAGCCCCAGTAGCTATACGAGTCAGGAAAATTCTTCAGCTTAACATCTGACTTACAGATATGAACTGGACAGGATTTACCTGCTTCTATACCTGTGTGTCACTTTCTTGATAAAATTTTTTAAATTTATATATGATTTTATGTATACATGTCACTGGTTTTGCTTCTCAAGAGAAACCAGGCTAACACAGTCATTAAGGTTGACTCTACTTTGAAGAAGGAGCTTGGTGGTGCTGTGGGTTAAACATTGAGTTGCTAACTGAAAGGTCAATCATTTGAACCTATCAGCCACTCTGAAGAAGAATGATGAAGCAGTCTGCTCCTGTAAAGATTTACAGCCTTGGAAACCCCATGGGTCAGTCGTACTCTGTCCTATGGAGTTACTAAGAGTTGGAATCAACTTGATGGCAGTGGATTTGAGGTTGTTTGTTTCTTACCTTGATGAAGTAGCTCTTCCCCATTCATGTTTTGTGTCTTCCAACCAAAGGAGCTCATCTAGCAGCCCTATCCCATACAATATCCTGCTGCAATTCATAAGGTTTTCACTGGCTAGCTGCTTTAGGAGTACTTCACCAAGTCCTCCTTTCTAGTCTGCTTCTGTCTGAAGCTTTGTTGTAACCTGTCCACTATGGGTGACCTGCTGGTCTTTGAAATCACAGCAGCATACAAATGACCACAGCACAACAAACTGACAGATGAGTGGTGGTCTGTGCTGGTTGGAATCAACTGGAAGGTCACTATCAACAACAGCAGAGGGTTGGTGCAAGTATCCTCTGTAAGGCCTGTCTTTCAGTTTTATACTTTCCTTTCAATCCAAGGATCCCTGGTAGCATAGTGGATCAAATGTTGGGCCACTAATCACAAAGATGGTGGTTCAAGCCCCACCAGCTACGTTGCAGAAGAAAATGAGACTATCTAAATATTTACAATCTCAAAAGCCCAAAGGAGAGGTTTGGTTCTGTCCTATAGGGTTGTTATGAGTTAGAATCCACTAGTAGTGTGTGTGTGGTGTCCTTTACATTTTACAGAGCCTGGTAGGGCGATGGTTAAATGCTTGGCTGCTAATTGAAAGGTTGGCAGTTCAGACACAGCCAACTGCTCTGCAGGAGTCAGACCTGATGGTATGCTTCTGTAAAGCTATAGCAAAGAAAACTCACATGGGATTGTTGTGAGTCAAATTCAACTCAACAAGACACAAGAACAACAAGTCTTATAGACAACATTTCTTTATGCAGCAGCCTCTGTATTGAAACACATGACACTCGTGTCTTTTTCTGGTCTCCACCCTGCTGAAGCCAGGGTTCTTGGTGCGGACTAAGTGATCCATGGCATACAGGAATATAGAGAAAGGATAATACAAAAACAAACAAACAAACAAAAAACCGCCTTTCAATCTCCCAACCAGCCACTCGCTGGCTCTTTAGTACCTTTCCCCATGGAAGGCTATTGAGGAGATTCTGAGTTTGTACTGAGTAGAACTGACGCCACAAGATTGTCAATGGCTGCGTTTTGGAAGCTGATTGCCAGGCTGTTCCTCTGAGGCTGCACTGAGTGAGTTCAAATTGTCAGATTTTCAGTTAGTAGTTGAACATTTAACTATTTTGTGCCACCCAGTGACTCCTAGGCTGCATTTAACAGCACAATAATAACCTGTTACTGTAGAGGCAATAGACAATGTGATGGAGGACGTAGAGGGACAAAGTTATGAAAACTTCTTAGACATAACCAAACACCTTGAGGGAATGAGCATCTGGGCATGGGGGCGGGGCGGGGATCAGGACCAGAGTCTGGGGGAGACGCCAAGATCAATTGGAATAAAAGAGCTCACAAAGACAATGGTCCACATCCTCCTTTCATGAGTAGCAACTTGGGTTTTAAAAGCTTGCAAGCAGTCATTTAAGGGGAAACTATTTATGGAAAGACCTGGGAACAATTAATTCCATGGACTCATGGAAGGTGCCAGTACCAGTCTCCCCAACACGGAGATCAGAAGAACTAGATGGTGTCCAGCTACCACTACTCACTGCTCTGAAAAGGAGCACAGCAGAGGGGCCTGGACAGAATGGGAGAAAAGGGTGGAACAAAACGCAAAGTCATAGGTCGACTAGTAAGACTGCTGGGACTTGCACCTTTGCACCCACCCCCAGTCAAATCCACAAGACTGGCTCTGAGGCCTGCGCTGCACTCACTCTAGAGTTAGAACATCCAACTGTGCAAGATCAAAAAGCCATCCTTTACCTGAGGGCAAAGTTCAGAGGGTTAGGCAAAAAGGAAACAGGAAACACAGGAAGTGAACAGAGAGGTGGTACAGCGAGGGCCTTGCAATGGATGAGGAGAAACAAAACGTGCAGGAATCATTAAAGAGGAAACCAGTGATCTGCTCTGTGGACCTTCACCTAGTTCACAAGAAAGGTGGTTTTGTTGTATGTTAAGAGTTCATCAAGAGTTCCCAGCACACCCCATTCTCATTCCCCTCACAAGACTTAGGCCATCTCTTCTCTTCAGGTTTGCCTTTTCTCTTTTTCAGAGAGGGTTTCTTCGATTTTAAGAAAATTCCCTCTCCTTTCCATTGTTTCAACAGTTCTTTAACCCGCTCCTTTATCCCTGCCTTCCACCACCACCACCACCACCTGCCCAGTCCGCCATCCCCACCTCCCTCCCCTGTAGCCTGGAAGGGTCGAATACAGCTCTGCTCTGGAAGGAGTATTCCCTGCTCCTCCTGTGTCCTCTGTCTCTCCAGCTCTCTCTCTATTGTTCTGAAGCCAGATGGTATGATTCCCCAAGGAGAGCATTTGCAAAGTGCTCTGAGTGCTTCGAGAAAATTGATTTGATAAATGGAAACATTCCTTACAACTACTCTGTCCTAGAAGGAAACAAAATGTGTGGACATGCGATGACTCACCAGGTTAACAAACAATGGAGATGCTGTGTCATTTTAAGTATTATTCCACAAGAGATTTCCCCCCCAGTAGTACAAACTAGAATGCTTGGTTTTAAATGTTTAAAAATGAAATACCACATATATTCGTGTATAAGCTGAGTTTTTCAGCACATTTTTATACAGTTTTTGTGGTAAAATTAGGTGCCCCGGCTGATATTCGGGTCGGCTTATACTCGAGTATATACGCTTGATTTTGTAAGGTAGCACTTTCATTATCAATGCTTGGTTTCCTTGCAAGTCTGGCTAGACCAGAGGATGTACACTGGTACAGATAGGAACTAGAAACACAGGGAATCCAGTTTGGAAACTTGCAGTTTCCTTGCAAGTCTGGCTAGACCAGAGGATGTACACTGGTACAGATAGGAACTGGAAACACAGGGAATCCAGTTTGGAAACTTGCAGTTTCCTTGCAAGTCTGGCTAGA